CCGCAGGGGTGCTTCGAAGAGTGGCTGATGCACCTGCAATCGAACAAGCGGGGATTCCGTCACACATCCAATCACTTTTCCGGGAGTTTTTTGAATCGACTTGGTTCAAGCTCCGTGATGATCCCCAACTTGTCCAGACACGACGAGGCAGTCGCCCAGGCGACTCCTTTGCTGACCTTTGTTTCAGTTTTGCCCTGGTGAAGATTGTCGGGTTGGTGACGAGAGATGTGGTGGCGCAGTTCCCCGATGTGCGCATTGGGTGGAATAACAGTTTTTCGCCAGTTCCTACTGATGAGGTGACGACTTGGGTGGCCCAGTGATGCCCATATGGGCTGATGACCTGGCAATTGCCGTAGATGATTCTACACCTGTGGGCCTTCTGACACGGTGTACGCAGGTGACAGCCATGCTCTTCGACCGTCTATTGGCGGCTGGCTTAAAGCCGAATCTCAAGCCTGGTAAAAGCGAAATCTTGATTGACCTCCGAGGACCCGGGGCCCCCCAGTGTCGGAGAGATTTGATCTTCCAGAATCACCAACTCCAGATCCCGTCTAGGATCGAACCTTTTGCAATCTCGGCTGTCGGAGCTTACCGAAATTTGGGTACATGGCTCCAGGTAGGAGGAGGGATTGCGAGGGAAGTGAAAGTCAAGTTTGCCATGGCACATGATGCGCTTACCAAGTATCGGACCCAGATTTTCGCTAACAAAGCTATGTCCCTGATCCGGAAGCGTCAGTTCTTCGATCGCCTTGTTCTAAGCGTGTTACTGTACAATGCTGCAGTCTGGGTCCCACGTAATAAGCGGCAGTCTGCACAAGTTTGTACAAACGTTTTGCCATTTTACACTTTGGTGCACCGGCGCTGACATGGAGCAAAAGGTGGACGCTGTATCAGATGAGTCTCCCAGAGGCGGAGATCGTCCTTGTAGCTGCTCGTCTCCGATACCTGGGTCAGTTAGTGACTGGTGGCCAGCCTGTATTATGGGCTCTCCTTCAGCGCGATGCTGCTTGGCAGGACCAGACGCATAAGGACTTTGAGAAGCTGAGTTATTACTGTCCTGAGTATGGACCCTTTTGGCCTGTCCAGCAGCATTGGGACGATTTCAGCCAGTATGTCAAAGAAAGTCCGATGCGATGGAAACGGATCATGCGGAAGTTTCTGGCAAGAGCGATCTCGGTCCAAAAGATTGACACAGAGTGGGCAGCTTGGCATCAAGAAATCCGCGATCAACTGATACAGAATGAATTGGTGTCTCCTGAACCACCCAGAGCGTTTGATCAAACCTTTTGTTGCCTTGTGTGTAGGCGGTTTTTTGATAAAAAAGCTTTCATGGCAGTTCATGCTTTTAAGAAGCACGGCCGTGCAAACCGTGCCCGAGCATTCGTCTCGGGGCAACAATGTGAGAGCTGCCTACGACACTACGAACTCCCTTCTGACCTGATTAACCACGTCAAGCGCAGTGATGTATGTTTCCTTTTCTATCAGCAACGAGGGCATCGAGTTGAACGTGAGCCGGCTGTCAACAGCAGATCTGAAAAGAAACAAAAATCCTTGATGCGAATGCCCTTCATGCAGGCTGCCGGGCCTAAATGTTCCTTCCCACAGCAACCAGAAGATGAGTTTCTCGAAGAGCGCGGTTTACAGCAACAATGGAGTGAGGTTCTTTTGACACACCTGCCGCCTCTGGACTTGCTGGAAGGACTACGACAAGCGACTCTGTCGACGTTCCTTTTCTTGGAATAGATTTTGTTGGCATTTGAGGCATGGATGGCATCTCTGGATGAAACTATCACGCTTGATACTTTGACAATCTGTGCAAGATTCAAGCAGCTGGCGAGCATTAGATGGCTCCTCTCTGATCAAAGCCATTCGGCTGCTAGCCACGAGTCTGTAACCAATTTCTTCTATCGAGAAGCAGGCAACATGTGTGAGCTCCGGGTTGCTTTACCTGAGCGGGTGAACTATCGTCCTAAGGTCTTTGCTCATCTGTTTTCGGGGGCCTGCCGAACAGGCGACTTTCAGCAACACGTAGAAGCCCTACATGCGATGGCGATTTCTGTTGATATCATCTTTGACTTGAAGTGGGGAAACTTGCTACAGCCGACAACTTTTCAGCTGTTTGAACGAGCAATGAGAGAAGGTATACTGAACGGGTTTCTTTCAGGACCTCCTTGCGAGACCTGGTCCCGTGCGCGCGCTGCTGACGATGTTGTGCCGCGAGTCCTACGCAGCCGAGCGCGCCTTCAGGGGATCCCTTCTCTGACACGACGTGAAGCCGAGCAAGTTAGTATCGGTAATCAGCTCCTTGGAGTTACACTGCGATTGTTGATTCATGGTGGCACTCTTAACGGGAGCGATGGCCATCGTCGAGCATCCGGCATGCCCCGACGACCGACCCGATCTGCCTGCGATATGGTGGCTTGATGTCATTGCTTGTTTTTTGCGTTTCCCGACTTGCAAGAAAGTCCGAATCTTTCAAGGCTTGTTCGGCGGCCTATCGCCTAAGCCGACCGACCTCCTTCTGGCCAACTGTGGCCAAGAGGTCGAAGCCTTTTTCATAGCAGCACGAACCTCCAAGAATGCCCAAAGGCGGAAGAATCGGAAGAGATTCTGACGGCAAGTGGAAGATAGCGATTTTGAAAGAATACCCCAAAGGACTGTGTCGCGCCTTTGCTCGTCTTTTCTTGTCGCAATGTGAGGAGTCGGATTCTAGTGCTGAAATCTCTGAGTGGTTCTCACGCGCTGTTTCTAAACTTGTTGCTTCATTTGACGAGGACGCGACAATGGGTCCTGACTGCTGTAGGGGTGCTGCTTTGATTCCCGAACCTTAATTGACCTGCAAGTACAGTCACAGGCTACGCCTTCGGCTTGGAAAAAACGGGGAGCGCTTGCGAAGGATTCTTCTATACAGAGGGTGCGCGTTACGGATCTGCGTTGCTACGTTGAGGCTAATATACGGCGTCTAGCTCCAAAAAAACAAAGGATCAAAAAAAAAAAGATCAACAAAAAATAGAAAGAGGATCAAAAACATATATTCCTGGATAGGCCTCTTCTGCTGCTCTCCTGGCCCTGTGGTCTGCGGGTCCTTTGGTCCTCTGGTCCTTTAGTCCGCTGGTCCACTGGTCCTTTTGTCCCCGGTCCCTTGATCCTTTGGTCACTTGGTCCTCTGGTCCTTTGGTCCTTTGGTCCCCTGGTCCCTTGGTCCTCTGGTCCTTTGGTCCTGGTCCGGTCCCGTGGTCTCCTGGTCCTTTGCCCTCCTGGTTCTCTGGTCTGCGGGTTTCTTATGGCTTTCTCCTTGTTCTTTCACTGATGCTTTTTGATGCCTTTGGTCCTTTCTCTTGTAGCTTATTGGCCACAGTTTTCCTTCAAACGTACAATGCTTTTGGCTTCGGTTGCCTTAGGTCCTTTTGTGCACTTTTGGATGCCCTTCACTGAAAGGGCAGGGTACATAGTTTCTAGTGATTTCTTTTGTGGTGCTGTGTTTTAACGTTTGGTTCGCTTTGAGCGGGGCACGCTGCGCCCTCCCCCCCAACCCCCTCCAGCGCCACGAAATCTGCACTCTTGCGCTGTGACGAAGCAGCCCAGCGCTGTCTATACTTGATTTGCGTTGCGGGGGCGGCGCAGCGCCCTCCCCCGCACCCCCTCCCGCTTTCTTAATAGTTTGCCACTACCCCTGCCATTACCAGTACCTCCAACACCAGTCTTACCACAGTTACCACAACTACTATCTTCTTTGCGTTGACGCTGCCACAAAGGGGGATGATAAGGCCCACCTTCGCTTTCGCCTAGCGTGAGGCGCTGTGCCCTACCCCTACTACTTCCACCACTACTGCTGCTACTACCACTACTACTACTACTACTACTACTACTACTAGTAGTTACTACTAGTTACTACTACTTACTACTACTACTACTACTACTAGTACTACTACTACTACTACTACTACTACTACTACTTCTACCACCATTAGTACTCCTACTCCTACTACTACGACGACGACTACTACTAGTACTACTACTATTAGTACTACTACCAGTACTACCACTACTACTACTACTACTACTACTACCACAACAAGAACAACAACAACTACTACTACTACTACTACTAATAGGGCTAGAATATTTTTTGGACTCCTTTTTTATTTTTTTGATCCCCGTTGAATATTTTGTTTGATAAAATTTTTGTTTGTTTTGATCTCTTACCCCTAATATACCCGCATTTGTAGGCATACCGTCAAAAGACAAGTACATCTGTAGCTTGCAGGTGTGGTTTTCCAGAGCTGCTGCTACGAAGGTAGCAGTATGACCCCTGCAAGCACTGCAGTAGTCTGCAGTAGAATTGCGTTGGTTGTGGGATCTTGCTGCTGGGATCTTGCTTCAGCAAACAAACCTGACAAATAGTTCAATGCAATTTTCGCAGGGATTTTGCTTCAGTAAACGCACCTGCAGAGTATATAGTTCATGCAACTTTTGCTGGGATCTGGCTTCAGCAAACACAACTGCAAAAATAGCTCGTAACTTTGGCTGGGGTTTTGTTTCAACAAACACGCCTGCAAATCATCTCATGTAACGTGCGCCGGGGTGCAGGGTCCACACGCGTTGCAAAATAGGGACATACTGAACAACAACAGAACTTACATGTTTCTTTTTACCTAGCTCCAATCCCAAGCTTCGTGGCTTCGGCCCAATAGTTATGCGCGATTCCCTTCGGCAATGTTTGCCCGTCAGTCCAGTCCCGTTTGGTCATACGATGTGGTAGGAAGTTGTATATAGTAATATGTGGAAGTGAAGTGCGCTGCAAAAACTACAGTAATTATCTAGCATCGGTGCGAGCACGATAGCAGACATTTTGCAATGCTTAAGCGCTATAGTTAAAGTAACATGTTGAATTTAGGTTTTTACGCTGGAGCAGAGCACTCACTACTATTCACACCAACTCCGACAAAGGACGTACTATAACAGATTGTGAGTTCAGATATGTCTCTTGTCTGCGCAAGGCAAGGGCGTGTATTTTGAGCAGATTTCAGCCACGGGGCCACAGCGGATGTTTCACACTTTGAACCTTGGCTTGCAATGCTGTGGTCACATTTGCGCAGTGAACTTTTTAGCACGCTGGCGATCATAGCCGTGGACGTTTCCACGTCGTGCCGATCGATTGTGGTACCTTTATACCTTGGGTTCCTCAAACAATTGCTGGATGGTCTTCGCGTGAAACGTCACGAAATGATGCTAAGTTAGATTCGCGTGTGAAAACGCAAGTCTTCCACAAACTTTTCCCGGTCAAAACGACAAAGTCTTCCGCACAGTTTTTTCCTTTTCAAAATCATGTTTTCCTCAGATATTTTCTCTGTCAAAACCATGTTTTCCACAGAGGTTGTTTCTGGCGTGGAAAATGTTTTCCACAACTTTTTGCTTTGGTCTCAAGCGGCAATGCCATGACTCCATGACCCATGACAAGCAGCTGACTTGGATTTTCCCGGGCTGCCGGCAAGTGCAGCTCGTGGGTTCAATGCCTTTCAATGCCCATGTTTCCTGATGCCCTGTCACGCACTGACTGACATAAGGTCATGAGGTTAATCATAGATTCAACCCACTTGCATGATCCGCTCACAATTAATTGCGACAAGAACCGAAACTTACAGAACAGTCATTAGTTGACAGTAGTCAGCATGAACTCAGGCCACAGGTCTAGCTGAGATGTACAGCTGTAGGCTGTAGCTCAATGCCCTTTTTATTGTCATTCAATCAATGCTGCAACAGATGCCGTCGGCAAAGTAGTCAAAGTTGTTCTAAGCTTGTCAATGTTTTTGCTTAATGAACTAACATTGAGTTAACGGACTCCCACTGAACCGTTCTGAACCGTTCGGATGTTTCCGGTTTTGTCACAACGTAAAAATTTACGAGTTCGAAGGGAGTTCTAGATAGTTCGGAATAGTTCAGGCTTTTTCCCCACCTGTCAGGTGAAGGTTGTTAGCCGGACCTCAACCACGACCATCCACGCCCAGTGTTCCCTGCCGGACCTCAACCACAACCATCCACGCCCAGTGTTCCCTGCCGGACCTCAACCACGACCATCAACGCCCAGTGTTCCCTGCCGGACCACAACCACGACCCTCCGCGCCCCGTGTTCCCTGCCGGACCTCAACCACGACCGTCCGCGCCCCGTGTTCCCTGCCGGACCTCAACCACGACCATGCGCGCCCAGTGTTCCCTGCCGGACCTCAACCACGACCATCCACGCCCAGTGTTCCCGGCCGGACCTCGACCACAGCGCGCAACCACAAACACAGAACCACAAACACACAACCACAAACACAACCACAAACACACAACCACAAACGCGCAACTACAAACACAACTACAAAGAGACAATCGCAAACACGCAGCCACAAACGCGACCACAAACACAACGACAAACACACAACCACAAACACAACAACAAACACACAACCACAAACACATCACAAACACCAGAAACACAGAACCACAAACACACAACGACAAAGACACTCACACACATAACCACAACACACAGCGACAACACATACAAAATCGAGAACCAGCCAACGCACCATAGTGTGGGAAACAATCAGAAATACACAACCACAAACACAACAACAAACACACAACGACAAACACAACAACACACACACACAACCACAAACACACATCCACAAACACACAACCACAAACACAAACACAGTCGCAAACACAACAACAAACACACAACCACAAACACAACTACCACAAACACAACTACAAACACACAAGCACAACCACAACCAGAAACACAGAATCACAAACACACAACACATACAAAATCGAGAACCACCCAACGCACCATAGTATGGGAACAATCAGTGACTGGGGTAGGATGCATTTCCATACCTGTTGGCGCAGCTGTTTTTGATAGACACAAAGTCATCATGAACGTGTCTCTGCAGATGTGTGGCTTGCGGTAAAAAGAGAAGTCTATTCTGGAGTGGTTGTGATAGTTTTGTTGGGCTATGCGACGGGACAGGGAAATTGTTTAGAGTTTAGTGTAATTGAGAGGTTGGACTGACAAGGACCTGAGTTGCGAAATGCGCAACAAGGTTGATGTCAACGTGGTGAAATGTCATGGTGGGGATCACTCGAAGTAAAGTAATTTGAGCCGCTTGAACCGTTCTCAACCGTTCGGTGGTATGTGGTGGGATTCTGAACCATTCGGAGGTTTTGCAGCGCCCGCGGGGTATGGTGATGTGTCAAAAGATTTGTTTTGCAGTGGCAAAGGTGCGTGTGGCAGTGCGGCGCCCAACATCAAACAAAACATTCCCACAACACCCATTCTACAAGCTGCAACATGTGCCACAAACTACACATTGGAAGGTGGAAATTTCGAACAATCTTCCTTACAACATGTTATTGAACATATGCTTTACAAGGCTCTTCCCACAACCACAAGCACACAACCACAACACACAACCACAACACAACCACAAAATACAACGACAAACACACAACCACAAACACACAAAACAAACACACAACCACAAAGACACAACCACAAACACACAACCACGAAGACACAACAACAAACACACAACCGCATACACAACCACAAAGACACAACCGCAAACACACAACCACAAACACACACAACCGCAAACACACAACCACAAACGCAACCACAAACACACAATCACAAACACAACCACAACCACAACACAGCGCACAACCACAGCACACAACCCGAGGACCCACAAGCAAAATCGAGATCCACAATACTCACGACCATGGCAACATTCTCCTCACTATGGCATCAAGACAAATGATTGAAATGTCATGGTGGGGATCACTCGAAGTAAAGTAATTTTTATTGTTTTTGTTAGGTTCTGGTCAGCCTTGAGCAAAAGCCGGACATTCAGACTGGAGGTTACCACTGGAGGTTGCGATTGGAGTCGCAACCCAAGAGTTGCTTAAATCAATTCAAATCGTTTTCATATTTTTCCTTTCATGAGCGCTTAAGGGATGGTATGAAGACGTTTCAAGCTATCTAAGTAACTGTCTGAATGTCCGGCTTCTGCTCAAGGCTGACCAGAACACACCAAAAACGATCAAAAGACGGAGTTCCCAACACGCACAGGGATCTCAACACATGTTGCAGACGAGCGCCCAACCCCATCTCAAAATCTTCTGAGTCGCGAGCGCAGGGCATGTGTGAGTTTATGCTGCATTTGGAAAGCGTTTATACATCCTTTGCCCCTGCCCTTGTCACCCTTGAATAAATTCACTGTTTCATGGTTTTTACTCCTGCTGGGTTGGCCTTTCGGACATTTTTTGGCTTTTTTGGGCTGATGCTGGGCTATAGTTATTACTATAATATAGTATAAAGTTAGTGTGTGGACTGACCACCACTGGACTGACCTGACTAGACTGGCTCAACTTTGGACTGACAAAAACCACAAACTATAGTAGTTTAAATTAATCTTGACGACCACTCCACACTTCATACCATAAGCGTGCATAACCAATTTTTCACATACACTTCACTTTCACTGTCTGACTGTCATCAATTTCATTGTCATGGCCTTCGTTGCCAATCATGGAAGAGCCGGACAAGTACCAGAAAGGCTGGCATTGGGTGATTCGAGTCTGACGGGTGTGACTAGGGCTCGATGTACTGCAAGTGAGCCTTGAGAGCTTGACTAGGTAACTGGAGAGCTTGACTAGCGCGACTGGTCCCTTGACACCCGCCTTGCTTGCCAGGTAACCTGGAGTGAGTTGAAGGATGTCCCAACGTCACATCCTTCAACTCACTCCAGGTGGAGTGAGTGGAAGATGCTGAAGTGAGTTGACTTCAGCTTCTTCCACTCACTCCGGTTGGACTTCAACATCTTCATCCACTCCGTGGCTGACAGGCGCGCTTGGTGGGAGGAGGAGGTCGTCTAAGCGTCCGACATGTTCATGTCGTGACATGACTGTTAACTTCAATTTTTGGCTCAGGTCTGTCAGGCTCAGGACATCGCATGGCAGGCATTTCATGTCATGTCTGGAATTTCTGTAGGACTGACTGACTCACTCACATATCGACCGACTGCTTACTTCACAGACTCCCCTTCCCAAAAACACTGTCCAGTTCGCGGTGCCTGACACGTGGCCTGACACGTGGCCTGACATGGAGGAGGTCTCTGGCAGCGATGCGGCTGAGTCTGTGATGTGGACTCGTGAGGAATGGCCAGAAGGACTCATCATCTCGTATGGGACTGACGCCATCTACAACACAACAGTGGATGGAGACGGTGGCCTGTTGAACATTCAAGTCATCCTTTCAACTCTTTTTTTGGTGGGCCAGACCAGGTCGGTGAAGATGTGCAGTTTCTTAATTGCCTCACTGAAACGCTCCATTGAGGTTGTCGCGGATTGATGGTGATGCCACAACGGATTGCGCAAGAAGCGTCTGACTGCAGGGCGGTCCTTCTCACACACGACATGGAGGCGATCTGGCCTGACAGCGACAGTGTGGCAGGATTTCTCCAGAATCCCAAGCTGGACGGCACCTATGGTTCCTTGACTTAACGTGTTTAACAATTTTTAGTGTTTGTGGCATGACTCTTAGGCCATTTTGGCACCGCACCTGACTATGTAGCCTTTGAGCTCCTCTCCCTGACTGCAGGTAGCCTGACGGAACCGGAGTGCCTGCTTGACGTCCTGTCTGGCCCCTTGGCCCGGAAGCCTGCTTGCGCTGGAGTCCTGTGTTGCTTGGCGGCGATTGCATCGGCAGGAATGGGTCGGTCTGACACCAAGCCTTGGTGGCTGTGCCTGACATGCTCCTTGGCCAACATGCGGCTGGCTGACTGCAACGTTATGTTTTTTTCACCTTAGCCTAATTGACGTAGAGGTTGTTTAAAAATAATGAATTCAATGACAAAGACTTGGTTCAATTGTCTATTGAGGCAAGACTGGGAAGGTCGCTTCGCAAACTGTGGCGCTTCTGGTTGGCGGTCTTGTTCGGCAGCCAGTGTGGCTGGTTGACATTCATGGTCCCTGCGGGAAGAACCTTGCACAGGTCCCAGAAC